TATATATATAGCTTTGGGGCACTTGTACTCCCAGCTATTTGGGAGGCAGAGGCGGGAGGATTACTTGTGCCAGGAGGTTGAGGGCTGCACCTATTATTGCTATTATTGCACCACTTCACTCCAGCCTGGGCCACAAAGAGAGATCCCGTGGAAGTGAGGGGAGGGAGGGAGGAAAGCAAAAACACAAAACCTACAGATACGGATTGAATGGAAGTCAGAGAGCTCTGGAACACAAGTGTGGAAAGCCTCGGACGGACACTTCTTTCTAAATCCACGGATGGACACTTCTAAGTCCTCAGAAGCCCAGTTCTTCCTAGAGCCTCGGTTGGACACTTCTCCTAAAGCTTCGAAGGGTTCCTCCTAAAGCCTTGGACGTACACTTTTTGCTAAAGCCTCTAATGGACACTCCTGCTAAAGCCTCGGACGGACACGTCTCCAAAGTCCTCAGATGGAACACTTCTTCAAAAAGCATCTGATGGGCCGGGCACGGTGGCTCACGCCTGGAATCCCAGCACTGTGGGAGACTGAGACGGGAGGACTGGTTGCCCGGGAGTTCGAGACCAGCTGGGGCAACATGGCCGGTCTTGTCTCTACAACAAATTTAACAATTGTCCGGCCATGGCGGTGCGGGGCTGCAGTCCCGGCTCCGCGGGAGGATCGCCTGAGCGCTGAGGGCCTCCTCACCGCAGCCTAGGGAAAGTGAGGCCCAGAACGAAACTCAATATACAGAGCCTCGGTGAACACTTCCTGGGCTGCACCGCGCGCCACGCCGGTAGCAACGCGGTTCTCAAGCCCGGTCACCTCTCCAATCCCGCCTGCCGCCGCCTCCGGAGGCCTGGGCCTCAACTCACTTCAGCCGTTCCGGGACCTGCCTCCGTCTCCCGCCGCTTCTCGCGTCCGCCCGGGCCCCTCTGCAATGGAGGAAACCACCACTTAGTCTCCTTGGGCGCCACGGGGACCCGGTCCGAGGCTGGCGGCGGAAGTGGCGTCGGCGGCGCGCCCTTACCGCTTCCGACGCCGCCTGTCCGACGGTTATTCCCTTCCTCGCGGCGGGCGCGCTCGGCGTGAGTGAGTTCCGCGTGCCGGGAGTCCCGGGGCTCCGCGCGGCCCGGCCGGGGAGTGCCCGCCCGCCGTACTCCGGCTCCCGCCTCCTGAGGCACCGGAGCCGGTGGCGCGGGCGAGAGGCTCTGCCTCCTTCTGCGTGAGGAACGTTCCGGAGGAGGCTTCGTTTGCCTTGGAGGTTTCCGCCGGTCGCAGACGCGTCGCGGAAGGCGGGCGGGCCTAGCGGCGCCTGGCGTGCCCGCCGAGGTCCTCCCGCGAGGAGGGGCCGCCCTCGCCGTCGGGCCGGAGGCCTGCACCCCGCGAAGCGGCGCAGCCCCCGCCGGGCCGCGGCGCCTCTGGTGCTGGGCTGGGCCGGGGCGTCCCGCTCGCAACGCGCCGCCTGCGGTGCCGCGCGAGCCTCTCAGAAGAAGCCGAGGCCGGCGAGTGCGCGACCGCCTGGTGCTGCTGCCGTGCTGCCCCCAGCCGGGCTCGTGGTCCCGGGGCTGCCGGGCACGAGGAGGCGGAGGACACGCGGCCCCCGGGAGATGAGCCTTTAAGGCCCGGCGGTGGGTTCCCGGGGTGAGGACGTCGTCGCGCCGCGGCCGCGGTGCTGCTGTTCACTGAGAAAGGAAGATCGTGTCGTCGGCGACCGCCCCACGCAACGGCCGGAACTCCGCTCAAGGTTCCGACGTGGCCCGGGTGCCTTTGGACCAGCGATCGTTAAGGTTTGTCCGTGCCCACGTTTGTGTCTGTCGGCGTCTTTTCACCTAGCGCATCCCTGTCGTTTCTCCATCACGCTGACTTGGAAGAATCATTCTAGAAAGTCACCGGTCAGGTGTTTCTTATACTGTGCTCTCACAGTGTTTTGAAACTCTCTTCCATTTCTTGCTATTTCCTATGAACTTGTTAACTGTTCCAGAGCAGAGGTCAGCCATGAGCCAATAGTAAGTGCCTTCCGGATTTGGGGCAGTAAAACCTCAAATTCCTCACTCAGTTCTGCCTTAGAAATGTTCGGGCATTACTTGTTAATTTTCTACCCTGTACTGGTGGCAAACTGTTTATCAACAGGATAGCGGTAACCTTCAGAAGAAGGCATAGATTTACTGGAAAATGCCAAATGGCTACGCTCTGAATTCCTGTCGGTGCTTGGCAGAGGCTTCAAGAATACACCAAAGATACTTTGAGTGGCTCTGGGTCTGCCGGGTCACTTGGACCAAGCCCTTGTGAAGCATCTCTTACAACCTGAACTTGCTGTAGCCCACACTCGAAGCAGGAAGCTTACAAGCAACGGTGAGGAGCGTTAGACACAACACACATGTGTGTTGCCTCTAAAAAGGTCTATAGAGTGGTGTGCCTCTTTTTTGTTGGCAGGTGGTGTCATGCACATTAACTTGGAGGTCTTACAAGGGGTTGTCTTTATGTGATTCAGACTACCAAACCCACAGAAACTGTGGCCCCTGACTCTCCACCCTGTCTTTTGCATGTTTCTTATAAAGGTCTCAAAAATATTTTCTGTATTCTGCTTGTTGGATCCAACCAACATCATGTCAACATATTAGCCGTGCAGTGTTTGATGGAATGTCAAGTCCTCTGGCACATAGCAGAGAAGCTAATGATTTATTGTATATTAATGGCAGCTCTTTAAATAAGGAAAGAGAGCCTATGCCACCAAACAACATATTTCTTGTCTTTTCAGCACAAGAACCCTTCAGTGAGAGACTCCTAGTAATACATACAGTTTCTACTAGAACTGTAGACGTATTTTTATGATGCGGTAACATTTTTGGATTTTAGTTCCCTAGTTGAAATGAGAACAGTGCAGTTCTAGGCCTACTTTTGGTAATGTTAGAGATGCTAGAAATGGGGGTACTATGGGGTATACCCAACTCCAGACTGGGTCATCCAAAAATGACATGGAGACTCGGAGACCAGTAGAGTGAAGCAACCTTTTAATAACGCTCTTGCAAGAACGGGTGTCCCTCAGAAGAGCAGACACACAGAAGCAGTTCAACCAGAGTATTTAAGCCCTAAAATGCAAATCTCTCCCCTGTTTCTCCATAGGCAGGGTACTTCCAGAGGTTACAATACTTTCCCAGACATCGCCTACATGTTGTACGTTGGTTGGGTTCCCTAGTTAGTTCATTTGCATGTCCAATTTGCCGAGTAGCTTACAAGATTTTGTTCTAATTGGTTCCCGTCAAAGTTTAAATGAAAAAGCCCAACAAAGTAAAAGCCTGAAAAAAAGGAGAACAAGCAGGAAGTGACTCAGCAAAAATCAGTTACATACAGCTTGTGGCTTACTGTGAAAATAAATCATTCTTTTTCTTACAGTCTTCCCCCTCTTTTTCTTTTTAAGTATCTTTTATTATATTTTCATTTTGGGAGGTTCAGATTTAATTGTAAGATCAGTTTCAAATTTATAATGTAATTTACTTTTTTCAAACTTTAGTTTGGTTTCCATAACAGGTATAACTCATAGGCATTTTATTATAGCTGTCTCAGTTAGTATCTGGACTAAGCTTCTGATACAGGGAATAATACAACATTCCAGAGCAACTAACATCCCTATTACTGTTATAAGGGAGGTTAGGATTGAGATTATTGTTTCTCTTCATCTTCCAAACCAATTATCTAACCAATCTGTGGAGGGGTCTTTAAAACCAGAGTTTTCAGCCAATTCATTGGCTTGATTACTTTAATCCTTGTAATGCTTTGGTAATAGTCCCATCAGGGGCTGTATTGTTTGGGATAAAAGTACAGCATTGTCCTCCTAGCATGACATATACTCCTTCTTTTCCTGTTAACATCATGTTTAAGGCTGTATGAGTTTTCCATGTTATACTAATGGTAGCATCTAATTGTTCATCAATTCCTTTAATAGCATCTTTAGTATAGTTAATATATCTTTGTTGATTATAATATATATAATTTATCCAGTCTACATTCTTATTTATAGTTACCCACCAAAAGAGAGATTGACATCCTGCAGCTATTTGGTTTTGAGCTTTGAATTCATTGGGAACTCCCCTCGGGACTTCTATAGCATCTCGATACACATTAGAGTTAATGAGCCAGATACTGGTGGTCTAGGTAATGATTGTTTTACTCTTATTAGTTATTAGTGGGTTTTGAAATGCTAGGGTGAATGGAATAGCCAATCAAACCAAAGCACGCGTTTCCTGTCCATTTGGGTGGCGACAGGGCTTGATTGTCTTACATCCACAGTACCATAAAACATCTGCTTGAGGGATGTTAAAGTTCAAGTAGTTGCCCTCAGTTGACCCAGAGACATCAAGGACATGGGTATAGGTTTGCAGATGCTCCTCCGGAGTGGTGAAACCATCCCCTCATCTGGAGAGACAAGAGGAATGATTTGTCTTACCCATGGAGGAGGAAGGATATGCCTTCGGATCTGACATCTATACAGGCGGATAGAGCAGGGAGAGACTGTGGCAGGTCTCATTCCTCCATGTATCCTTATCTTGATATAGAGCCAACAAACAACTTATTCCTTTGGGGTCTGTGTTCCAGTTAAAAGGGAATGGGACTATTTGAGCCTGTGACCTACCCATGGCACAAGCACAACAATTACTTTTTTTATTTATTCAACGCAGATATGTGTTCCCATATCCTGTTTCAATCTCTAAAGTTAGAAGTCTGTTACTTCCATAATCCTTTTCTTGCCAGGGTCATTCTTGGGATTAGATTGGTTTAATTTTCAAAGCTGTAAAGGGGTTGCACTAGGGGTTGGGGTAGAATTGATGGACAGTGAAGATGCTACAGGCGTTGCAGTTAATCTTATCCAAAATTTACCTAGAGGATCCTGTCCAGATATGGCTGCTCCTAACCTGTATTTCCAGGATATCACAGGATCTCTGTCTATGAGTGGAGGTTGGGTTATTGTTAATAACAATGGGTTACATTGTACATGTTGACAACTAGGAGGAATAGTCCCTCTTGTAGGTTGAATTTTATTTTTAAGGTTTTTTTTTTTCCCCCTCTTTTTCTACTGTAGCTGTCTATCCTTTAAATTGAATGGTCCAAAAGACACCAGACCAGTCCCGGCAAGGGTTATTTGGGGTGAGTAAAATTATGCCATCCATAACACAAGGGCCAGTGGCCCCCCCCCATATTTTGTTTCAGTACATCTTAGACCATCTTCAGGAGTGCTATCAGGACAAAGGTATTTGTCAACCATAGATAATTTTCTTTGGTCGTGAAGACTTCCACATGACAGGACAGAACAGATATTAAATTTAAGTTATTGGGGAGCTATTTCTAGTGATATTAATAATGAACCATCCTTTGCTTTTGTTTATTACTATGGTTAGAATTAGCAATACCTTCAGGGTAAACAAAGGTGTCATGGTTGCGGGATTGAAAAGATCCTTGCAAATACATTTAACAATGAAAACAATAAACATACATATGATAAGAAATGCAGTTGGCAGTGCTATGAGAAAAGTTACAGGGGTTTTTTTTAATTTTAATTTTAGTGGTTTAGTTTGAGAGACTTCCCATTTAGTAGGAGTGTTCTCTGGTACCATACCTTCTTTTGGTGATTTCTTGACATGGGTATGATGCATTCGCCCTTTTCCAGCAGTTCACATGGCTGTTTCAGTTGATAGAACGCTTGATAGGGTCCTTCCCAGCTTGGTTGGAGCTTAGTTTCCTTTCAGGACTTGATCAGCACCCAATCTCCGGGTTGAAACTGGTGAACTGTAAACTCAAGAGGAGGGGTTTCAGCAAGGAGCGCCTTTAATCTAAGAGAGGATATGGTAGAGGAAATAGCCAAAACCTTTTTTTTTTTTTTTTTTTGAGTTGGAGTCACTCTGTCGCCCAGGCTAGAGTGCAGTGATATGCTCATAGCCCCCTGTTGTCGACCTGCTGGGCTCAGGTGATCCTTCTGCCTCAGCCTTCCTAGTAGCCAGAACTACAGACATGCACTACCTTGCCCGGCCAATTTTTGATTTACTGTAAAGACAAGATCTTGCCAAGTTGCCCAGACTGGTCTCGAAACCGCGGGCTCAGGCAGTCCCCTCGCCTCAGCCTCCCAAAGTGCTGGGATTACAGGCTGAGCCACCGAACCTGACCTGAAACATTTTTTTTAATTGGTCTTTTGTTTCCAAAGATGGTAAATCTGTGATTGCACTTAAAAATGGCAATCCAACTAGCAATTAGGTCCCTACCTAAAAGGTTGATATCAGGCTCTGGGACAAATGAAAGTAACCCAATGAATGTTTTAGTTTTAGTTTTTATAGGCATGGGGTACTGTGCCTATAAAAATACTTAGTTTTCAAATATGGGGCACTAAAATCCTTTCTCTTTTACCCCAGAAACTTGAAGCTTTTTTTCTGTGAGAAATGAACATTTTGAGGTTTAAAGATGAGGGAGGAGTGTGTCGCTCCAGTATCCACAAGGAAGGTGTCATCTTCCTCATTGGGCCCCACCTTCAGACTTATCAAGGGTTCCTGGTGGGGGTCTAGAAAAGGGTAAACCCTAACCGCCCTCATTCTGCATCTAATGCCACGAGGGAGATTATTTCTTCTTCCTTCCTCAGTTTGGGGCAGTCTTTTTTTTTTTTGAGTTGGAGTCATACTCCATTACCCAGGCTGGAGTGCAGTGGCATGTACTCTCACGGCCACCCCAGTGTTGACCTGCTAGCAGCCCTTCCACCTCAGCCTTCCAAATAGCCGGAACTACTGGTGCATGCTACCATACCTGGCTAAGTTTTGATTTATTGTAGAGACAAGGTCTCACCAGGTTGCCCGGGCTGGTCTTGAACCCGCGAGCTCACGCAATCCACTAAACTCAGCCTCCCAAAGTGCTGGGATTAGAGGCTGAGCCACCGAGCCCAGCTGGGGCAGTCTTTTTTAAAGTGCCCTGGGTTTCTTACAGTGGTGACATTCGGCTTCCTTTGTATTAAAATTTCCTGTCCTGTTCCCCTTAGGTTGTTTCTTTCTGTTTTATTTTTTTTTTTAGTCAGAGTCTCACTCTGTCGCCCAGACTGGAGTGCAGTGGCAC